ATCCTCTCATATACAGTTAGGTCCGGAAATAATGGGACACTGACACAACTTTCATAATTCTGGTTCTGTACGCCACTATAATGGATTTGAAACAAAACAACTAAGAAGCAATTGAAGTGCAGACTTTCATATTTAATTCAAGAAGTTGAACAAAAATATTGTATGAAACTTTTAGGAATTGCAACCATTTTCATACACAGTCCCCGTATTTCAGTGCCTCAAATGCAATTGGACAAATTAAATAAAATGTTCATTTTTGATTCTTTGTCAAGAATCCTTTGCAGACAATAATTGTTTGAAGTCTGGAATGCATGGACATCACTAAATGCTGGGTCTCCTTCTTTGTGATGCTTTACAAGGCCTTTACTGCAGCTTCAGTTGTTTGTGAGTCTTTCTGCTTTAAGTTTTGCCTTCAGCAAGTGAAATGCATGCTCAATCAGGTTGAGATCAGGTGATTGACTCAGCCACTGCAGAATATTCAACTTCTTTACCCTAAAACCCTTGGGTTGCTTTCGCAGTATGTTTTGGGTCATTGTCCATTTGTAAAGAGAAACACTGTCTAATCAACTCTGCTGAATTTGGCTGAACCTGAACAGACAATATATCCCTATACATGTCAGCATTCATCCAGCTGATTCTGCCTTCTGTCACACCATCAATAAATACTGGTGACCCAGTGCCACTGGAAGCCAGGCATGCCCATGCCATCACACTGCCTCCACCATGTTTTACAGACCACATGGTAAGCTTCAGATAATGAGCCATTCCAAGCCTTCTCCATACTTTCTTCTTCCCATCATTCTTTTGCTGGTTGATCCTAGTTCCATCTGTCCAAAGAATACTGTTCCAGAACTGCACTGTATTCTTTGGCAAAGTCTAATCAGCCCTTTCTATTCCTGAGGCTGATGAATGGTTTGCACCTTGTGGTGAACCCTTGTGGTGTATTTGCTCTTGTGAAGTCTTCTCTTTATGATAGACCTGGATAATGATATGCCTATCTTCTGGAGTGTTCACCACTTGGCTGGATGTAGCAAAGGGGTTTTTCTTTACCATGGAAAGTATCCTATGATCACCCATCACTGCTGTCTTACGTGGATGTCCAGGCCTTTTTGTGTTACAGAATTCACTAATGCATTCTTTTTCTCTCAGAATGTACCAAACTGCCAATTTGGCCACTCCTAATGTTCCTGCTATCTCTCTGATTGATTTCCTCCTTTTTTTGCAACCTAAGGATGGCCTGTTTCACTTGCATTGAGAGCTCCTTTGAATACATGTTATGTGTTGACAGCTTTCAAATGCAAATGGCACATCTGGAATCAACTTCAGACCTCCTACCTGTTTAACTGAGGATGAAATAACGAAGGAATAGCCCGCACCTGTCCATGAAACAGCTTTTGAGTCAATTGCCCAATTATTTATGGTCCCCTGAAAAAGAGGGGGCTACATATTAAAGAGCTGTAACTCCTAAAGCCTTCCTCCAATTTGAATATATATATCCTTAAATTAAAGCTGACAGACTACATTCTTAAGCCTATATCCATCATTTAACTGTAATTTGAATTTATTTTCATAAACAGCCAAAGTAACAAAACTTGTCTCAGTGTCCAATTCTTTCCAGACCTAACTGTAACTGTTGTGCATTTGCAACCCACCCAATACTTATCACATCAATTACTAAACTTTGTTTTATGACTAATGACATTTTAAGTGTCTTCACCTATAGCCTGGAAGTGTGGTGTAGGGGATAGAATGAAGGACTAGGACTCTGGAGAACAGGGTTTAAATCCCTGCTCAGACATGGAAACTCATTAGGAGAGTGGGACTGGCAAAACCACTCCTTAAATATATCAGTTACAGGTCACTACAAGTAACTTGACGGCACATAACTATCTCCTTGCCAGACTGAGATGGCTACTGAGGTGGCATCTGTGTGACTAGTATTTTATAACCCTCCTTCTTATGCTATTATATCCAGGGCAGACAATCAATTACAAAAGCTGCCTACTCTCTAACAGGTCTGGCTGAGTTGACCTCTTATTATTCAACTCCTAGCAGTTCCAGAGCTGGGGCAGGATTGCTGGATAGCTCAATGGTTTAGGTATCTGCTGAGGAGCCAGAGTTGTGACTTCGGTTCCCACTGTGCCTCCCTGACATGGGCTGGACTTGATGATCCATGGGCTCCCTCTTCCAGATCTGGTTCTAAGATGATGGTGATGATCATTGAGAAGGCCCTCTCCTTGGTAGCCACCTGTCAGTTCTCATATCACAGAACTCAAACTGCAGACACAAAGCTGGACAGCAAAGGGCAGTAAGACAATTTGAGCTGTGGGCAAGCCTGAGCATATGACGATTTGCTGCCTTTGATTAGGGAGTTCTCCAGAAAATTGGAATGAGACTCAGCAATGAGTAGGAACGGAGAAGCTCTGGGGGCTGTCATTTAAAGATACCCAATTTTGTATTGGGATTGTGACAACCAACAGGGCACACTTCCTCTGCCTGTCATCCATCATTCCAAAAAGAAGCAGTTTCTATGGGTTATATTCAGGCTATCAAAATGTCTTGAGACAGTGACTCCCAATAGCAAATAAGGGCGTGTCATTTTGATTTTTTGGTCTCCAGCTCCCAGAATCTTTCAAGAATTCTCCATGCAGAATTCTGGTAGTTCCAGCACACAGACCCATGCCGATATACATTCCGACACATATTTTGCTCACCTGGAGCAGAGCCTGTCTCCAAGTCTCAGGCCTACTTCCTCTAGTTAATGGACAAAAATGGACAATGTTGCAGTGTTTTCTGAGCACTGTAGTTCTACTGTCAGTAGAACCGGCAAGAACCATTTGTAGCTAGTCTATTTTTGAACTAATGGGCAAGATATGGCAGATGAGTGAAGCACAGAGAAGGCCCAAAGGCCTGCTATCCTTTTTCTATTGGGATGTTCCAAAGAAAATCTGACAACAAAGTTCTCTAGAATATCCAATTCAGTAACATCACTCACACATATAAATACTGTATCTGCAGTTCGGTAAGCAGACACCTCATATAGAGGATCAGCTGACTGAAGTGGATACATATACACTAAAGCAGGCTTGTCCAACCTGCAGCCCAAGGGCTACATGCGGCCCAGGTCAGCTCGTAATGCGGCCCAGTGATTTTTTTTATTTTTAAAGAAATTCGAAAGTTTCAAGTTACACTGCTGGCGCTTGCGGCCGGAATGTGGCCAGGGCATGTCACAACAGTAGAGGGGCAGAGAGGGAAGGAAGGAAGGAGTGGGAAGGGAGGGGACAGGGAGGCTGTGTGACTGCATTGCGCCATCCCCATCAATAGGTGGACCCCCTCCCGGCCCCATAAAGCCGCCGGAGT